TGCACAGTTTTTTTTCGAACCAACACAACAGGAGCCTACAAATATACTTGTTTAATCGGATCTAGTATACCTATACATTAGATACGATGGATGAAGATATCATATTACTGACCAAAACACTTATGAAAAACAGATGTTCTTTGTAGTTTGAAAAACCGTTATGGAAATCAGGTAACACCAGAGTCAACCGCTTCCCAAGATAGATATCGACATCACTTTACTATACAGAGGGGAGTAGAATAGTATGATTTCGAGACGTGGGCTATCATCATGTATTAAAAAGATACACTATTCAGCCAAACTCGCTTTGTCACAAACCACATCAAAGCATAGATGCTAACGTCACATCCCAGTGCGTTTAAAACTTCACATATGTGTCTGGTTACACATACAAAGGGAGTAATAATCGAGGCATGCAGTGAAGGATAGGAGACCATATACCTAAGTGGCTTCAGAAACAAATAGAGTATGAAACTTTGATCAGCACAAGTGGGAGGCAACTCTTTTCATATTACAAAAGTGGGTCACAGAAACAACTTTCAGAGTTTCATATAGAAACAGTCAGGGATGCATACTGAGACTTGGGAAATGATAGGCACGCACAAACTGAAACAACCTTTACAGGTACAAAAGCGATTTGTTTTAACACCGGCCCTACCCTGGTCTTGGATGGAGCCGGTTTTAACTGCACTATCTAAATGAATAAGAGGGACTTATTCTGTGAGTATGTCTTAGAAATACATGGCTCGTTCTATTAAACTTCAAAATCACAATGAAACGTTCATTTGCCTATGATCTTTTGATATGGGTGAAGTGAAAAGTTAAGTGGCGTCAATATTTGCATTATGGCCACAGGATTGCCAGCTAGGTGCTCTACAAACAAAGCTAAATAATTCAGCTGCTGAGTGGTTCCTAACTTCAATTCAGTCAAAGAAATTTTTACTCGGCTACTGTGTTAGTCCATGAAACACAGTTGTTCATTTATCATGATCACATTGGCTGCCTACTTAGTTTTTGTCATCATAATCCTGGTTTTCTGGCTGTTTTAAAATACTTCTTAATTAAATTTAGAGAGGACATATGCAAAGTACAAGATTGTCAGTTTCACTGCTTGCCACTTAAACAGATTCACGCACTGCATATGTTCTAAGGCAAACATCATAAACCAACCTAATTTGAATTGAAACCTGGTTTATCTCACAACCGTTCACGAACAACATACAAACTTTACTTTCATAAACTCGATAATATAAGAGTAAAAAAATTCTAAAGTTACTCATTAAGGGATGATGAAATCATAGCGAATGCCTGTGTTGCATGGATAATCTATTCCAAGCCCTTGGTATCTTTTCTAAATAACCTTAATTTCTAAAGTAAAATCACTGCGTATGAATTTTTCAATTTTCAATTTCCGTAAGGAAAAAAGCTGTTTTCAAACATGCGCAAAGCGTGATGGGTCTGCAGAAATTAAGAATAGTTTGTAGCAGATAGCCGTTTCAATTCACCTGGTTAACTAGTTCACGAGACACTAGAGAGTCCTAACCCCAAATAAAAAGGAAACTTAAGCATAGAGTTAGAAACCTTACACCAGAAAACAAATCCAATCACTAAACAAACTTCAAAACATAAGGAAAATATAAAAATGGAAACAAACTCATTCCTTCCTACAATCGGAGAGGCAAAATGATGCAGTTTGGTGAAAGAATTACAGGAGCCAATTGGCCAATTTATCTTCGCTTCTCTAGATAAAAGCAAATCTAAGCATAGGGACAAACAACATCCGAACAATGTTCAAAGCTGGCTAGCAAGGCTGCCCAGATTGCAACAGAGATGAGAATGTATGGCATAGAAGTGTCAGGAATCTGCGAGGAATCAACCAGCACATGGAATGCAAGTGGACTCTCCAAACTGTCAACTGGAGAGGAGAGTCAATAATCTACTGTGATATTGTCACACAGATGACAACTACGAGCACACTGAGTTGTTGAGTGGCTATCACTATGTCTTCAAGAGCGTCGAGGGCTCTCTGTCATCGAGTGGGAACCAGTCTCCTCCTCCATGATCAGGACAATGACAGCAAGATGGAACCAACTCAAGAGGAGAGGAAGTCACAATCATACAATGCTACACCATGCAAATATAAATAATGCAGATGAAGAGAAGAAGGAGGAATTCTGCAGTACTGCACAGGACAACACCCCAGTTGGTGACATCGAAATTATAATGTGTGGGGTAATAAGGATGACAAACTGGCAGAGGACAACACAGGAAGAGGAGTGATCATGGGCCGACAGGCACTCGGTGAAACAATGAATGAGAATGGAGAACTGTTTGCAGACTGCTGCGCATTCAACGATTTGATGATTGGAGGCAATGTGTGCAAACATATGAATATTCACAAGGCAGCGACATAGATTTAATTTCACCAGACACCAGGACACACTACACTACAAATCAGATCGAATGGATTCCAATGTGAAGAAAGTGAGATGCAGTCTACTGGACACAAGATGAGGTGAAGAATGGGAGCAGATGTGGGTTCACACCACTCAATATCTACTGCTAAGAACCCACCTTCAAAATCAAGTTGAAAGTCTCCAACGAAGCTGGTGATAGACGACCACAGTCCAAGTTGCATACTGAATTGAAGGAGGAAACTACGACGAACGTGTTCACGTCAGTCAGGCATCAGGACAAAATGGAAGACACTGGGCAACATCCACTGAGGAGGGGGGAAACAATGTGGAAGAAGACTGGGACTCTTTGAAATAGATGTGGAAGGAAACCTGCACAACCGTGTTAGGAGGTGAGAAGAAGCAAGACAAGACAAGACAAGGAATGGATGTTGACGGATACATGGAAGTTGAAAGAGTAGAGGAGGATGATGATGGTGAAGTAGAAGATGAACAAGTGCAGTGCAGTGCAGTGTAATGCAGTGTGGTGTGGTATGGTGGAGGGATGAACATCGAAAAGAGGAACTGAACACAACCTACAAACACTACACTGGACAAAGAAGTGAAGAAAAGTGTTCACAAAGGCAAGAGACACTTCACCGACACCTTGACCAGTGAATCAGAACAGGCTGCTGGTAGGAGAGACCTAATAACACTGTATCACATAACAAGGTTACCATCTGGGAAGCGATCGGCACAGATGTAACCACTGAAAGATAGTGAAGGCAACTATGTTATCAGAGAGGAGAAACAGGGGAACCATGGTGTGACCACTTGAAAAAACTCTTGAGTCGAACTCTACCATCACCTGCAGCTCGTCGTATAGAAATGTCACCGGCAGCCCAGCCAAACAACTATCAGTGAATACAAGCCCTCCGACGAGAGCAGAAGTGGTCATGAACACCATAAGGCTGCCAAAATCCGGGAAAGCAATAGGACCAGATGGAATCCCTCCAGAAACTCCGAAAACCGATGCAGAGACAACAGTGGACATGCACAGACCACTACTACAAACGATTTGCAGTGAAGGAAGGAAGGAAGGAGAGGTACCTGCCTATCAACTGGAAGAAGAGCTAACCTGTCAAACTCCTAAAGAAGAGAGACCTAAGCTAAGTCGTTGCAAGAACTGGAGCGGAATCATACTGCTCTTCATCCCAAACAAAATATTGAGCTGTATCATTCTGGAGAGACTGAAAAACGTACTCGATTGAAACTTACGACCAGAACAGACTGACCACCTGACTGTCATCAGGAAGAACAAATCATGTGTCAATCAAACTGCAACGCTATTCTTCACATCATTATTGAACAGTGAGTAGAATGGCAGTCAATTCGATCTTTACCTCAACTTCATCGACTTTGAAGAGAACTTCGATACTGTCGACCGATAGGTAATCTGACAGCTGCTTCAGCACTACGGTTTAAGTGCCACAAACCTTTATCAACCTCATTCAACAGCTGAATGATGGTGATGATGATACTACATGCCAGGTGGTTTGCGATGGAGAGCTCAGTGATGCCTTTGAAGTGAAGACAGGAAGGAGTAAGACAAGGTTGCCACTTACTATCATCACCGATGATCTTCCTGACTGTGGTCAACTGCACCGGACTGGATCATGCAGCAATCCGTGATGGCAAGAAGATTGACATGTGCTGAATGGATCGATGAAAAGAGCCTAGAAGATTTGCAGTTCGCCGTTGATGATTTATGTCTAATGTGTTGTCGCACAAGCTCGGAGATGTACAGGCGGAAACCAAAAAGATGGCGGAAGAGGCTATTCGAGATAGTGATGGAAGACAGGACTTTCTTCAGGTATATGTATAGAAGACAGTGGTGATGAAAATATCCAACCAACAACAACAAACGCCAATCACCGCCAACCTTAGAAACCTAAATGAGGAAATCACAGCTTCTGGACAGTCGTGAAGCCGGTTTGAAAAGAATGTAGAGAACAGAGTGAAATGGTGACGTGCTACTGAATCCCTGTGTTCCACTAGGAACCCGAGGGAAAATTAATAATAATATGTCAGTATAGATTAACTTTTCTCATCCATTTAACCACATGAAAATATTATTTGGTGCCTATAATCCCCATTGATTAGGTTGTAGTTATGTTGGTAAGTGTTGCTACGATCATACTAAAAACAGTTTAATTATATGGAATGACTAATTTTTTTACAATAATCAAGGATAAGAACAATGTTTAAAAAATATGAGTAATCCTATTTAATTATAAAACGGATAAACTTCATGTCATTAATTTCGAAATACAACTATTGTATAGGATTGAATGCTCTAAAGGCACTCTGCAGACAGTCTGTCCGTGAGTTGATCTTACCACTCAAGATATACCTGATTTTAAGGAGACGTCTTCTTTTCCATTCTATATGTAACTGTGAAGATTAAAAAGGGATTTCATTCAGTTATTTTATTTTGGAATTAATGAGAAGTTATTAAATTTCAGCTTAATTCTCTTTGATTGGCATGTCTAAAAGATAAAAGTAGTATATAATGATCTAGTTCAACAGAAAGGATGATATTTGAACATGTTGACCTGTAGGCCGATTGGTAGGAGTCTATTCTCTTTCTTACTGGTAGTCATTGAAATTCACTGTTCATTCTGTCAACCTACATTTGATACGGAATGTGGTTCAACAGCACTTTTATTCAGTTCAAATGGCAACATCTTTTCACATAAAGGTTACGAGAAACAGTTAAAATATGATGGATTGATCCAGTGTTTCTGGTTAATAAACACTCTTCCTGATAGACGTATAATTGTACAGTCTGTCAACTTTGACTTAGCTGGTAATTCAACAGAATGTGACGAAGACAGCCTAATGGCTTATGAACCTAATGAAACATTTTTTAGTAATAATTCATCTGATATCAGTGCATTCACGAAAAAGGTTGGCGACAAGGCTTATTGTGGATCAGAAAACTTTAGACTATTGTCTAATTCCAATCAACTACTTTTAGTATTCAAGGGTCGATCAAGTGGAAGACACAGAGGATTCAATTTACGTTATGCAACTGTGCCTACTGCTTTTGCAAGGCAAATAGAACAGTCACTGATGTCTTCTTCACAGGATGACACATGTGATTCATCATTCGAGTGGAAATGTTCAAATTCACATTGTGTTCTAAAAAAGTGGAGGTGTGATGGATACGCTGACTGTCCAGGTTCTGAGGATGAGATAAATTGTTTTCATTTATCATCACTAAAATCCCAAAGAAACAGAAGACAGAAACGAGCAGTTGATGATGAAGATGACTGGGGTCGTGTTGTAAATGGTCAACCAGCTGCTCAAGGAGCCTGGCCATTTATTGTCTCCCTTCGGTTTTCTGCGAATGGAGGACATGTATGTGGAGGTAGTCTGATTAGCAAACAGTGGGTGATGACCGCTGCACACTGTGTTCAGCTAATGCCAGATCCAAAGAATTGGTATGTAGACATAGGCAGATACTATAAAAACACTAATGGTCCCGAAATTCAAAGAATCAAAGTTGATCAAGTTCACATATATCCATCTTATAATCGTATCACCTATGCTAATGATATTGCCCTACTAAGATTGGTAACTGCAGCGGATTTAACTAAAGGGCAAGTGAGTCTATCTCCAGTTGCACGAGATTCATTTTTAGCGGGTAAAGTGACTGCAAATGTTCAATGCTTAGTGGCAGGCTGGGGAGATACACGTGACACCGGATCAAACACTGTTTTAAGACAGGCTACTCTTCCAGTAATTGATTACAATCTTTGTAAATCTTGGTATCCATCTCTCACCCCTCAAAGTTTCTGTGCCGGTTATCAAGATGGAGGTATCGATGCATGTCAAGGTGATAGTGGAGGTCCACTATTATGTTTTGTCAGTGGTCGGATAGTTCAGGCTGGCATTGTGTCTTGGGGCAGTGACTGTGCCAAACCAAGACAACCAGGAGTCTACACTAATGTGGCTTTATTTGTCAACTGGTTTTCAAGTGTTCTGTAAGACGTTTAACGTGAAAATTTAGGTGAAATACTAATAAATTATTATTTTATGTTTAAATATTTGTGGCTTCTTCCTGATATTTTCGGATTGTTTTTCATGGGAACTTTTCCGAGAACATTCTATTGAAAGTTGTAGAAATTTGCTTGTCATCACTTACTATAGGATATGTAGTGGTTATCCTTAGCTACTTGAGTTAACCACTTGAAGCCATTTGAAGCTTCAGTAGCATATGATTCTCGCATAGAATCTTCACATCTAGTTAAATGCTACATTAATTATGTACACCGGAAAGCAAACTTTTTGGAAAAGTAGAAGAAAGAGTTTCTGGCTATATGTCCTAGTATGTTCAAGGTGAATCGGTAAAATGTTTATGACTTTTGTTTAAGCAGTGTACAACGTCATGTTATGCACTGAACATACACTTTTCTGTACATAATAACTAATGAACGGAAAACATGTTGTATTGTTGGCTTCTGAAGCAAAATCATTAACTCATTCTTGACTCAATCATCTGGATGGCGTAATATAAGCTATACTAATTAGTTAGATGACTGGCTGTAAACCAATCATTTCTAACCAGACTAAACTGCTTTGAACACTAGACTATCGGCTTTCTATTCAAATTTACCGAACTAACAAAACCGAGGCAATTACATGACCGAGATATGTGTATTTACTCGTATGGTAATTGTTGTAGGTATGGTGAACTTGATTACATATATCTAAAATCTGTAAGAAAATTATATTTTTGTAAGTGACTTCGTATGTCTCGAAGATGAAAATTCATCCTGAAGAAGTGTACAAAACTAATGTTTAGATGGTTGGAAGTACAGTAAAAAAACATTTATATTTGGTAATCACTGAAGGTGGAATGAAAGTGTGTATCGCAGCAAGAATCAGACCACTTCTCTACCAAGTGACCAACAATACCAACTTAAAACCAGATATAATTTCATCTCATTCACTATGGCTTTTTTCCAACTGCCATGTGAATCTCTGACTCATTACTATCTGTTCATGATAATCAATGAGTCTACCCACTCAGGACTTCTCACCTCAATCCAACTTATCCTGAATTGGAGATGGGGAGCTTCATGTTGATTATCAGTTTAACTATTCGAGACAGCTATGGTTTGACAGATAAGGGTTGGAATGTGAGAAAGCTGGTTCAAATCACGTCGTGGACCAGATTTTATCAAGTACCTTCAATAGAAGTCGACCAAATCATGCATCAGTCATCAGATAGTCAAAATGAGAATATTTATATATCATAAATGTTTAACCAATGACGGGCAAGGTTAATTTGTCATCTAACTAACCATCTGCTTCACGTTAAAGACAATAAGATGTTTCCAACTGGGTGCGTCATTTGTTTACACTGAAAGGATGTAAGAAAATGACAGTTGTTGTTATCACCATCTATCTGCGATTACTTGACCAGTTGTTCACATCTCTTCTGATAATCGACACCCTGTGATATCTAATGATGTTTAGAGTTGATACAACTCAATTTCTCTGTATTATTATTAAAGATGTTACATTCATGTGTGGCTGTTGGTTCAAAAACAGAAGGCAATACTAAAATTAATTTAGATCTGGGAAAAAAATTTCATCTGGTAGGTTTGTTGTACTAATCATAGTTGTATTTGTTACTAACATGTGTAAATTTTTAAATTTGTAAGGGGATGATTGTGTTGTGACCAGTCTGACATAATTTAAGGTCCATCATTATCAACCAACCTGTACGTTGTCTATGTTTTGTGAGCACTGATAATGAAAGACAAACAGAAAACACATTAGATAACAACATGAGCTCAGAAGAACAGTTTATTTATTAGTTTGACGTAGGAAGTTTGTTTTAGGGGAAAACTTTGAAACCTACCTGTCTTCAGGTAGCTGATTTAGAAAAATTGAGTAGAGACTGGTCGACTAGCACAAAGAAGACACGAAAATGACGAAAGTCAGTGGGTGGATACTTATTTGTTAAAACGAATCTCTCAAGAGTAAAGAAACCCGCTAACACCGAAGGGAATTATACAGCTAATATTTAGATATTTCCAGTTGTTTGTTTTAAACCTAGCAGTATGTGGTGACAAGAAGATGTATTTCAGACTAACCTAAAAGAGTTGCTGGAGCTACATTTGTTATTTGTGCCAGAGAACAATAGAAAGGAGAAGATTTGACGACTGATGAAAATTCTAAATGCTAAAGAAATTAGGCTACATACCTTTTGACTTCTCAAGCATAGAAGGAAGGTTATTTGTTCTTAGCTCCCTAACAGTAATATTATCTTGCAGGTAGCTTTATGACTGTAATTACCAACTACAGCTCACAGGTTCACTTCATATATACAGTAACTACTCTCACGGAGAATTTTAACCTAGAACTCTTGTATTTCTTCACGTTGAACGATCACTGTCAGTCGGCAGTAAACAATCAGACTAGCTGTTTTGCATTTCGTCACTCTTTTCAGCAAAGCACTCCTTTCATTACAAAAAAAATTCGCCTAGTTTAACGCTTCAGATATCAGTAACACATTTCAGTGGCCATCGAATGCAGCTATCAAGCTTTCAGAATGGGAAATCATCGTTCATAGAAATATATATTGTACTCTCAAAATGTGTGGAGGGAGAGCACATAAATCAGTTCTCAAATCTGAGTATATCCAGTTGGTCAGATGTACAACGTGAGCATCTGTGTGGGATGTTTCTTTCAAGTTGTCACCTACGAATTGGAGCGTGAAAATATTCCGTAGTCTTTAAAGAATGTAAACGTTGACTAGATTATGATAGTCAGATACATGTCATTATCTATTAGTTGATGAAGACAATTGTTTAGAACATCTTCCGGAGATTTTTCATCATTTTATTTCTAGACTAATCCTTGTATTGCATAAGTCTTCAGGCTGACTTTTCTTTGTGTATCATCTATGCTTTTTGCTCCAACTACTTTTATCGTAACATATACTGAATAAATGATTGAATTCCGAGAACCTTGATAAATCCATCCACATAAAAATTTTGTAAGCATAAGCAACTGAAAAACTCAGGGATGTCTATAAATATACGTAAATGTAGCCAAATCATTGGGATAAACATACGAAAATGTATTCCAGCTAAATACACGTTATTTTTGGACGACAGACATACCTTAAAATGTAGAGATTTCATCAAAACAATAATAAAACATGATTCCTCTGGATTATTATATTATTATTTTTCCCTTCGTTTCCTGGTGGAACATACCGCTTCAACAGCACGTCTGCTATCTTCTCCTCAGTCTTTTCAACCTGGATCCACGACTGCGCACAACCTTTCATTTCTTCCTCACATCATCTCCTCCACGTCACCCTCAACTCAGACGCCCAACTAGTCCTTCCCATCTGGGTTCCACTCGAGTGCCTCGCCTGACGCGTGATTTCCCCAGTCAGCCTTCTCTCAGCGTATGCCCAATTCAATCCATCTCCACTTACTCCTACTGCATAATTAGTTGAGCGATAGATTCTTGGTTGCTTCGTTCCCAGAGTTCCTTGTTGCTTATTCTTATAATTCTGGCCATCTGATCTTCAGTATCGAGTGAGCGTAGGCGGCAGTTATTGATGAACATCGGTAGTTTGTTGGAAGTGTTTTTTGTGATGCACCGAGTTTTTGAACCATCATATAGCAGCACTCACTTGACAATGGTGTTAAAAATCCAGATCTTGTTCTTATTACTCTGGATACTGTAATGCATTTTAATGATAAGTATTGGGTAGCAGTGGAATCCAAGATGCGCATTTCTTTCTATTTGGGACTCATCAGCTGGATGCATCTATCTCCCAGTGAGTGATGTTGTTCCCACTAGGATTCGGACCCGGGAGCTGATGAGTCCTAAATAGGACAAAATGCTCATCTTGGATTCTACTGCTACCCACACATAATTAAAACACAAGTAGTATCGAGGCATCTGCACAGGAGCCCATATGCCAACAGAAACTGATCAATCCGGTCCAATCAGCGACGATATCATACAAGCAATAACACTTTAATGTATTCGCCCATAATATTTCGGAAGATTCGATGGCATATTTTGCTCTTTTCAGACTACAATATAATGAGAATTCTAAGGAGAAAGAAAATTAAAAATTCTCATGTGAAGACCAAAATGAAGTCTCGAACAATGATAAAAATTAATTTGATCAATATTAATCATGATGCAACTTCCTTGATTTGAAAGTCAAATGATTGGTTGTCTCACTTGTTCTTGGGGTGATCTCCTATATGTGTTGTAAACTGGCTTAAAATATCTTCAGTCATTTAATTTATGGCCTAAGTTACGGTTTTGCTTTATTATTGGGGCACTTGGATATCGGCTGCCTATCCATCAGAGTACCACAAGACAGCAAAGCAGTTAGTTGGCTATTCATGGATATTTGTAGGGGGCAACTGTCTGTGAGTGTAACCTGATCGATCGATCCTATGGCTGCATGCTGAAACTGACTGGTTCAACTTTTGCTTCTAGTATCTCAGATTGGTGTACAAATATGCAATCTGCTTGCAATTTGTTTATTTGAAATATGTTTGGGTCATCTGAACCTCATTAGTTGTCCCTTCATACATAGATGAATTGATGAAAGTTGTCACATTCCGTTTGAATCACATTTATTTTATTCAGTGGAATACTATACGTTGACTGACCGATTTAATTTAACTGGAAGAGTATTCTTTGTTTCCGGGTAGTCGTATGTAATCGAACTTATTTATAATCTCCCTGTAAAATTCTGATGCATTGGTGACGGTTTCTAGCGCGGAAGTGAAATTTTTATCGAAAGAGAACAAATTACTCGAAACACATTTTTTTTTCCTCTCTCTCTCAAAATAAATTGGTTTTCATACTTGCTTCAGATTATTGCAGAAATAGGAACCAGTTACTTCACAATATTGCTAAATTTATGGCACCTCTAAAATCGAAATATCATCAGTTTATAGAAACTTGTTTTCCAGTACAGCTAGTCTTATTTG